CTCTCTCTCTCTCTCTCTCTCCCCTCTCTCGCTGTTTCTTTCCATCTTCGTCCGGTATTGCCGGCGCACAGGCCTCTCTCCTTCTGTCCTTCGCCCCTTGACATTCTCCCACCGCCGGCGAGACACCCTCGAGAAGTTTCAATTTATACTGAAAGTCGTCATGACCGAATCCACAAATACGTACACCACCTCCCCCCTCCCCAGCTCGCGTTCTACCTAGTCTCCATTCATATCAGCTGTGAGTACACGTAAACGCCACTGCCGCGTATATATCGTTTGTGCAAGGCACGGTTCGACGAACTTCCCTCCCCTCTCTACCCCTCGAAACGTCGTTGCACGTTTCTAGTCCTCTCTCTTTCTCTCTGTCGAGATTGATGTTCGAATTCCCTGGCGCGAGGGTGAAGACTTTTCGAGAGGATAGAAAAGGAAGAAAGAGAAATCGTCGGATCCGTAGCCTTCGCGCGTCGATCGACGTTTCGTGCGATATTCAGCCGCGAGCCGAAGGAAAACCTCCTCTCGCGTGAGATCGCAACGCGGATCCAGTCACGCGACACACATCGGCGAAACACGCTTGCCAAGAACGCTACGCAGGCTCGCGTGCGCGAGATTCCGGAGCTTCGAGTATCTTCGGGAACGCCTAACGATACGTTTAATCGTCACGGCACCGGGGCGAAAGAACGGCGAACGCCCCGCCGGGTCGACAACCCCATGTAAAGTACGAACAACAACCCTGAATTCAGAATTGAAAAGCGGTTGCTGCAACGAGGAAGCCAGATCAATGGAAGAAAAAGCAATTCAAAAGACAAGTTAACGATATTTCGCGCGATCGTTGCTTCTTCCTGATAATAGCGTAGAAGATGGAAATTAAAGCAACTTTGTACCATATTGTTACGAAGAGGTTCTGAACATTCGTACGTTGAAAGAAATAGAACAACAATTAAAATTAAAGTAACTGTGCACTGTTGATAAACTTTCATTTGGAGCCAACTCCCCGTTCGTATCGAGCGAGAA